GCCCGTCGTGTACGCCGTTGAAGATGACTTCCTTCAGAAAGCGATTGCTTAACTGTTTCTATAGAGGGGTCAAGGGGGGCATGGCCGTGACACAACTCGGGCCTCCAGGAACAGCACGCACTTGCGAGCAGCCTCTGGCAAGGCTGCCTGCCAGGTAACGTCCACCTTCTCTGGGCCACCACCCACCTTTTTGCGAAACTTCGCGTGGGTGCCCAAAAACTGCAGCTGCGCCACCTCCTGGGTGCTCAGCACGCTTTGCTGTCCGACCCAGGCCAGGAAGTGGTTCTTCAAGGATCTCTTGGCCTGCCACAGCTGCAGGTATCTTGGCGTGCCAGGCTTCGTCGAAATCAGGTGGCGGCTGCTGAAATCGCGGTTGCTGGCTTCGCCCACAAAGAGCTGATCCTGAATCGTCTCGAGGTACCAGGCGTAGTCCTCCTGATCGCCTCGGCTGCAGAGGACCTCGAGGGTCTCCATGAAGTTCAGGCAGCTGGCCTTGCCGTACTGCTCCTCCATGGTCAAGATCACCGCCAAGCAGGCCGGATCCTCCAAGAGCCGAGTCCACACGCGCTCTGCTGACTCAAGCCAGTTCACGTCCAACGGCTCCACGAGCTGAGAGTCCAAGGCACGCTCGCCAGACTTCGCGTTCCAAAGCTTGCACAGGGTTGCCGCGCTCTGACTGCCATGCTGTCGCTGGTATTCTGTTGTCCATGTGATGACCTCGTAGATTCGCTGAAGCACGGACCGACTCGTGGCCTCGTGGAGGGCAGTCTGGGTGTTGCGGGCAGCCACGTGTGCAAAATATCTCGCCTCGTCCGTGGCGAACACTTCGCAGCGCAGCGAGATACTCAGGCAAACCGTGCGCCAGCTCCTTGTTCTTAGAAGGCTTGGCCGAGTCAGGCCACGGGTGTCGCATGGGCGTCTCTACCTATATACACACGCACATACACATATGTACATCAACCTCCTTTTTTAAACAAAAGCTTATCACACCTGTGTGACAAGAGTCTATATTACAGTGTATACAAAGATATTGGAAACGTTTACATATGTCTTTGTGTCTGCGTGTATATACATGTATATACGCGGTGAGTTCGTCGTGAATCTGTGTGTGTGTGTGGGGGGGG